CGGACCTTGAGTTCCCCGGTTGGAAGGTGTGCTAGTTTTGTACGAAGAGGCCACTGACGGGCTACTTCTTTGAATTCGTCAAAGGCCCATTGTGATGAGCTGATAGTGTCGCCTAGGAGTCACTTGGCTACTTCGAGGTTGTCAAGGAACACCCAGAGGTTAGTTGAGAACCTTGCGGATGGGGCAGCAAGGGCTGCTTGTGCTCCTCGGAGGGCTGCAATAGCCTCAGAGTCGTAGACCTCTACGTTGCAGCCTAGTGGGAAGGCCTTGTAGCTAGTCTGTTGGCCACCCTGATAGGTTACAAAGCCACCGCCAGCTGCTCCGTCCTTGGCCTCTTGCTTTGAGCCGTCTGAGAACACTTGTATGTCTCCTAGCGGGATAGATGGCAGGAACTCCTCAAAGTCCTCCGCTGCCTGCTCTTTCGTCCGACCAAGAGGGCCGTAAACTCTTGCCTCAGCTATATCATTCGGCTCTCGCATCCGCCAGGGAGGGAGGGCAATAGAGTTGACTATCTCATGCGCTGGGAGGGCTAGGATAGCTCTAGCGAATCGGGATGTCGGCCTGCCTAGCTGAATTACTTTTGTGGCTCGCTTTTGGAGAGGGTGACGTGGGTCAAGACTAGCTGTCCGGGCTGCGAAGGCCTGTGTCGCCTGATTAAGTGCGATTTCGGGCGGGGGGATATGAGCTTCTTTGAGCAATGCTGCAAGCTGGGTTGTCCGGTATACTGGGAGAATGGCTCTTGCTCCGCTATATACTACTTTCTCGAGGAGCTGGATGTGTGAGTTGACACGGTTTGACGTCCTTCTATTATTGCTAGTGCGGTAGCGGCCAGGCCACCAGGTCTCAGCAGCGAAATAGCCCTTCTTGAGAACACACGCTGTAACGGCTCGCTGTAGGAGTATAGGAGGTACCCCTCGAGTTGTCTTGCCAAGTGATTTTAGGGCGTTGCCTACTACTAATGCCTTTTGTGCTAGGGTCTTGACATGGCTTTTAAAGTCAAGCTTGCGGTCGTAGAACACTCCTAGCCACCTGAGCGTTGTGGCAGGCTGTACATGGTGAGAGCGAGAGGTCAAAGGGGGGGGTAATGTGACGGTTCTAACCGTCACCACCATTCGGATCACGTGGTCTCGCTTAGTGACCCACACCAAGTATTTAGATCGAAGCTCTCTCGAGCTCTCCTCTTCTCCTCAGCTTAGAATCTTTGTTTAATTGACAGTTCTACGATTCCACAACCTACACCGTGGGCTTTGCGTACGTGTCGTCACAAATAGTTTCTAATTTATAAAGTAGAAAATACTATTATATGGTTAGGGAGATTAGGTATATAGAGAGTACTCTAGATTACTAGTTAAATATATATATTCTCTATTATAGTTAGGAGGGAGAAGGGAGGGAGGTATAAAAAAGATATTTACTAGATTTTAGGGTTTAGATAATACCTTTAGACTAATGAACTAATGAACTAGACTAATAGAATAACTAGTAATAAAGAGTAGAGGAGATTTGTCTTAGCATGGCTTATTATTATAAGGTAGTAATAATTAATGATTACTATTTATAATAGCGTGTTATACTAATATTCGTCGGTGTAGATAAAAGATAGATCGAGGGGGAGTGCTAAGAGTTTAGTATTATAGATATATGGTATATACGTAGAGCACCTATAATAACTCTTAGGATTAAGGATTAATCTAATAGACTCTGATAATACCGTGCGCATTCGAGTATTACATGAAGAATTGAAAAAAATCCAAGAGGTTAATATACAATACATACTATATAGCTATTTTACAAACTGAATTCTTAAACAGGAGACTATTGTAACACCACATCCACCCCTAAACGACAATAGTCTAACAAAAAACCACCCATGTCAACACCAACCTACGAAGTCTCCCTCCCAAGCCCCTCCTTATACCTAGCCAAACACCTCTCCCGACTCTCCTTATGATCCACAACCCTCTTAGGATACCCCCCCTTCTTCGCCTCTTTCCCACAGCCCCTCTCATACGGATCATGAATCGCCTTGCCCTTAACCCCCTCCAGCTCCTTGACCCACTTCCTAATGTAATTCCCCTCTGCATCAAACTTCTCACTCTGCAACAGGGGATTAAAGATGCGGAAATAAGGCTGAGGATCAACCCCCGTACTAGCCGCAAACCCCCAGCCCCCATTATTCGACGCGAAATCCCCGTCGATGAGGTGCGTCATGAAGAAGGCTTCGCCCATACGCCAGTCGGTGAGTAGGTGTTTGGCGAGGAAGGAGGCGACGATCATGCGACACCGGTTGTGCATCCAGCCCGTGTGGAGGAGTTGACGCATCGCTGCGTCAACGATGGGATAGCCTGTTTGACCCGTTTTCCAGGTTTCAAAGTGTTCGTCGTTGTACTCCCAGGAGATGTTGGTGTACTCGGGTTTGAATGATTTATTCATGCATACGTAGGGCCAGTTTGCGAGAACGTGCTTATAAAAGTCTCGCCAGGCGACTTCCGAGATCCAGGTTTGGATTCCTTGGGTTCCGGCGTTGAGCTTTTTGGTTGTGTTGTGATCGCGGGCATATTTGATGGCTGTTCGGGCGGAGAGGGTGCCGGCTGCGAAATGGGGAGATAGGGAGGAGGTTGCTGCCTCTGAGGGGAAGTTTCGGTGGTCTGTATATCCTGATATCTTTTGTTCGCAGAACTTGGTCAGACGGGCCTTTGCCTCTTCTTCTCCTGCGGGCCAAAGAGACTTGAAACGTTTCTTTTCTTCGGCTGTCAAGCTCTTATTTGGGGGCGCCGATGGAATTGTAGAATCGAATAGTTTGGGAAACGTCTTTCGAGCTTTGGAAGGATTCTTGCTTGGCGGAGGAAATTGTTCTAGAAGCTTTGGGTGATCATGTACGTGAGCTACCCATGTTCGGAACCAGGGCGTGTAAACTGCATATTGCTTTCCGCTACCACTTTGCAATTCTCCCGGACTGACAACACAAGTGTCAGGCAAGACATCCATAGCAATACCATTCTCCAAACACATCTCCACCATCTTCGCTTCCCTCCTCAATTCATCCACCTCGTACTCCACATTAGTAAAAAGATGCCTGGCTCCCCATTCCTTTAGCAGCTCCAGAATACGACCTGGAATCTCTTTCCTCTTCTCCACCGTTTCAACATAAAGTGGTATATCAAGTTTCCCCAACTCCTCCTTCAAGACCTCCAAGTTCCTCAGTATAAAATCCACTCTCACGGGAGCCGTTAAATGAGCTTCGAAATCCTGAGGACTGATGATATAAAACGCAATCAAAGGCAATCCCTCTTCCTTGGCCTTCTCACTAGCCATATGCAAGGACTTATTATCCTGGGTCCGTAAATCACATTTAAACCAATGAACCACCGAATTCTTGGCTTCAATGTTGTCTCTTTCCCGATTCGTACTTGAAAGCGCCGAATTCAAGAGATCTATGGGACGAGGAAGTTCATCGTCGTTGTAGGCTTGCGCGCGGGCATTGGACATTTCGTGGGGATAGTATTTGCGGAGGACAATACCATTCTCTTCGGCTAATTGAGCCGAATGATGAGGTTCTCGAAGAGGATCGGAGGAGCCATTGGTGATCTTTTGTTTCTTCGATGCTCCATCTGGTGATTTGGTGTCTTCGGGCGTGGAAGCCTTTCTCTTTGCTGCTGCCTTTTTAGCGGGCATATTGAATCGAGCTGTGGTTGATATGTACGCCGTGGCACGTGTTCGAGTGGTCAATTGATGCTGGAAGTTTTCAACTATTGGAATGCGGATTCGAATACATGGATTTCGCGTCCGGAAGAGGCGAATTGTGAACATCAATCGTGTGTTGATGTTTAATTATTGTAAAGACCGTTGTTTCGAAAAAGTCTCCCACGTCATCATTGGCGGAATAAGAACGCAAGGGGAGCTGTTACTAGGATCACTCCTGCTGTGTAACGTGGGGTTGAAGTGACAGCCGAATTTGGAAATATCAGAACATCAACAAGCCAACGCTGTCGAGAGGTGAGTTGTGTATTCACATCAAGTGTTGCACATCGCAAGAACGCTAGCAACGCCACTAGCTCATGAAGCCAACGAGAATAACTGAGACTGTAATTTTCGCAGCTATACAAAAGAAAATAAACATTGCGACTTGCAACATATTACCATGAATTTCTGGAATTCCTCGACTACTTGCTGGAGCGCTTCATAATGCTTTATCTAGTCTAGCTATCACGCATGCTTTTAATTGCTAGCTTCGAGGCGACGTGCAACGAAACTTACATATGGACATTTTTCTTTTACCTGACAATAGTACTTGAAAGCCTACCTTTTGAATCAACTCCAATGCTCATACAAGAGCTAGCGTACATGCTAGTGAGGGAGCGATGTGCAACAAAACAGTGATATATGCTCTGACTGATATCGCAAATTCTAGCATTGGCTCATCTGTTATTGGTGATGGCATTGATCTGAGGGGTTTAGTTTGTGGTCTGTGAGAGCGACTTGGCTTGAATTCGAATCCCATCAAATAGAAAGAATGGTTCGCTCATGAGTAGCAAACTTACTTTATCTACTATCAGTTAGCTTGAATTGTGCTCTTCTGTAAAATAATGCATGTCTTCAATACGGAGTAGTTGATTGGTGTTGCATTGGGCTTTTCGAGTTATAGAAATGGGATTCTTGAGTTCCAAACCACCACGGCAATTTTGCCAGACTCTTCGTCTATAGAAATGCCGGATGGTTATCCATATATTAAATACCAACGCTCTTTGAGTAAAATTTGAAATATCATTTGGTATGTCCGGCCCGTATCTGTGCTCCGACGAGATGCTCTAACGTCACAGCTCTTCAGAAGGCCAGTATAATATATCAATCTCCGGCTACGCAGCTATCGTAATAGCATTCTGGCTCCTCGAACAAGGGGTCACCTAACAGTGGGAACGAGGAGTTTCGAAGAGCCGTGTCTATCGTCTCGTATCCAATACACATCACACACAGTACATCGAAAATAATTTCTGGGAAAGGTCGTAGATTTTGTAGTCACTTGTAAACAGTGAATATCTCAGCGGAAAAGCCCAATCATGCCGGTCGTGAATCCCCCAGGTATGTGTATCCCGAACTCAATCCCAGCGCCCCAGACCGTAAATTGCAAAACTGTCACCATATGTTAGCAGTGTACGCCGCATGTCGTAATCGCAAGGTGCGTACCGGAAGTAACTCCTCCAAATATGCACTTATCGCTGGCTGCTTCCGCTCCATACGTTCTTCAAGAGACCATCCCGTTGTGCCAATCGGTTCAAAGAATCATCGGACTCGCCCATTGCGCGAACGAAACCACAGAGAGCGTAAACTTGGCTCTCGCCTGTGAATCGACCGTTCTCATCAACCTTTCCGACGGAGATCTGGACAGATGCGTGGTCCTTGGCCTTGATGATGCGGTTGGTTGCGCTGCACTTGCGTGGGACGTAGCTGCGAGAGAATCAAAATGTCAGCCTTGACATCACATTCAGGGGGTTATCTTGATCGCGAAAATTGGATGGTGAAATACGCACAGGTCGACGAGTTCTCCTTTATCGTTTTCCATTTTGGCGGTTGTTTGACGTGAAAAGTTTCTGTCGAAGAGGGGTCGTAGTGGTTTGAATAGAGAGCGGGAATTTAGGGATGATTTCTTGGTGTGGGATTTGAGAATTAGGCGAATCTTGTCCTGAGGCCGAAGTTGACCTCGAGGCTAGCACATAGACTCGGTCACCGTGCCTCGGCGATAGTCTGGTGGTGGCAAGCGCGACTTGGGTGCTTGGAACACAAACACTCCGGCTGGACGAAAGTCAACAAAGTCAACCCGCCACTTCAGAACTTGGGGGAAAATGTGGTTGAGATAGACAACCCATCCTGTCGTCCCATTTCCTTTTTCGAGGCCGACTAAGGCATAGTCGTTGGGCCGCTGGTCCTACATCTAAAATGGCACCAGCAGATGTGTTTATTCTTTCATCTTCCCCCCTCCAAAAACCGTTTCAATCGCACGCAATGTCCTCGTCACCACTACCATCTCCCAGTGAATTGTTTAAGCAGAAAAGACCCTCCGCGATACCGACTGGAAGTCGCGCTGCTTCGATCCCTCTCAACTCTCCAATATCATTTACTAGTGCGGCGACACTTCTCAATGAATCGAGACAAAAAAGTCCACCAGATGCGCAATCGAATAAACCCACCAAATCAAAGGGAACCAAGAAGAAGGATGGCAGCTCCGAGTTGTTGGAATTGTTAGACAAAGCGAAAGTCACAAAACCACGAGCAAAAAGGGCGAGTCTCGGCAAGAAGAAGGATTTAATTGATGGAGAACCCGCAAAGGTCCCACGGAAGACTATTACCAAGAAAGACAATGCACTACTAGATGGAGTAGAAACGACCAAACCAAAATCATCGCGCGCAAAGAAGGTCGTGGCGGAAGATGGGGAAGAGAAGATACCGGTCCCACGAAAACCACGGGCAAAAAAAGCTACCAAGGACGATGTTGGTGACGAGCGTGCCAAAGAAAAACCTGCGCGAAAACCAAGAGCAAAGAAATCCGAAGGTGGCCAAACGAAAATAGTCAAGGGAAGGGTCACAAAGAAATCGGCAGCAGCAGCAAGTGATAAGGCAGAAGGGAAATTGAAATCAATAAGCAAAGATTCCGCTACCGAGAAAATCTCCAAACCACCCAATTCTCCTGTACATTACGGATTACCTAAGGCAGTGAAGAGACGAACGGACTGGTCACCTCCAACGGCGTCAATAACAAGTAGGCCACTTTCTCCGACCTCGGAGCCTGTAGAAGCAGAGATAGTCCCTCCTGATTCGAGGCCGTCACCTTTAGCCAGTAAGGGATTTGGCAATCTCCTTGGAGACTATGGTTCTACGCAAAGTTCGGTTTTGGCAGTGCAGAGAAAGGTATCAGACGAAGGAGGAACTAGAAAACGAAAAATGATTGAGTTGATCAAGACAAACATTTCAGCTGCTTCCAATGCACCTGTAGAGACTCCTCCAAAAGCCAAGGCACCAAGGAAAAAGGCAAGGACCATCACTGATCTTGCGACGTCCGCATACGCAGCAGTAGAGAGTGATGCGCCTGTGGAATCGGCGCCACTACTCCAGTATTTTTCTCCTACAGGTATCAATGGCACCACCAAGGAATCGACGAAAGCTCGTTCAAAGACAGCTTCCAAGGGAACAAAGGCAAAGAAAGATGCCATCCAAGCTCCAGTACTACTTTCGCCAACGTCTGCTCTAGGTCAAGTTCGAAATCAGGATTTCGTTTTTGGTACTTCAAGTCAACTGGCGAGGGAGGAGTCACCAACTTACCTTCGAGATTTGCAGATGGCCATGCAGGAATCTAATCAGATGATGCATGATCCTTTCCACGATTCATTTAATGATCCATTTGCAGATTCTGTTCCAGAGCCGTCTGCACCCGCTCCTTCGAAAGTTAGAAGGAAGGACCCCAAAGGCGCTTTATGGGCTGCTGCGGCTCGTGATGCCAGTGGGTCTTTGCTAGATGTAGAAGTAGTGGACTTGATAGACTCTCCTGTTGTAAGCAAAACCGGTGGCATTCTGGAAGCTGCAGCTCAGTTGTTAGCGGAGGACGAGTGGCAGGATGTTGAAGTAGTGTTGCCTAAATCGCCAACGAAAGCTGGTCATGAACCCGAAGCTTCAACAGATTTGCAACCAAATAGTCCCAAAGCGAAAGCCCCTACAAAAACTTCATCTCCTAAGCGTCCCAAGGTACTGAAAGACAAGGACGTTGCCGCTGCGCCTACCAAGACAACCAAGAAGACTGCCAAACCCAAGGTACTTGAAATGCCAGATTTCGAGGGTTTTACAACGGTACAGTTGGCATCACAATTAGCATCATATCATTTCAAGCCCGTCAAGAGTCGGACGGCGATGATTTCATTGCTTGAACAATGTTGGGAAGGGGTCAATCGAACAGCTCTCCAGGAAATGGCGACAAACACCAAACCATCATCTCCCAAAAAATCTTCTAAATCTGCAACAGAAGCAAGTCAATCTAAAGCGACAACACCAAAGAAGGCTGTAGGGAGACCAAGGAAAGACAGTTCTGTAAGCACCAAAGCTTCACCCACAAAATCAAAGGCCAAATCCAAAGCCAGGTCTGTAAAAGAGAATGAAAAAGATACATCCTCCGACTCCGACATTCCACTCTCCACACTCCGAACCCCAGCCAAAATCAAAAAAGCCCAAAAAGCACTCCTCCAAGCCTCTCGTCAGACCTCCCCACGTCGTCAAACCAAAACACCACCCCACTCCCTCCAACAGCTCTCCCAAGACTCAACCATCGGTGCAGACCTCACCCCCGCATCCGACCAAGCAACACTCTTCAAGCACATCACCCTCGCCATCAAATCGCTCCCGCCATCCCGGGATGCCCAGGGCGACCCGAATTGGCAGGAGAAGATCCTCATGTATGATCCGATTGTGATTGAGGATCTGACTGCGTGGTTAAATACGGCGGGTGGTGCGTTGGAGAAGAGCGGGTGGGATGCGGAGGTGGAGGTTAAGGAGGTGAAGAAGTGGTGTGAGGGGAGGGGGATCTGTTGTCTTTGGAAGGAGAATTTGAGGGGGGGGAGTAGGGCGAGGTATTAGGNGTGGAGGTTAAGGAGGTGAAGAAGTGGTGTGAGGGGAGGGGGATCTGTTGTCTTTGGAAGGAGAATTTGAGGGGGGGGAGTAGGGCGAGGTATTAGGGGGGTCTTTTTGTGTTATGGTGTATGGAATTGGATGGGATGGGATGGCGTGGGGGAGTTTGGTGGAGTGGAGGGAATTGGAGTTTAGCGATTGTAATGGTGGTTACTTTAATTGTAGGACCTGGTCTCGTTCTCCTAGTTTTAGTTTTGGGCAGATTGCATGGAACTATATTGTATGGTTTTAGTCAGTGTTTATTGAATAATATACCTCTAATAAAGACCTAGTTTTTCGAATCGGCGTATTAAATTAGAGTACAAGTAGTTAAGTTAAGTAGTAACATCTACTCAACTTAACTCGAGTAGTGAAGGTCGCTATTCAACTCAACTCCCCAAGTACCCCTATATTAGATATATACTATTACGTAGCTATTTCAGGGTAATTAGAAGTTTCTTATATTATAGTCGCCTTATATATAACTACTCAAGTACTACTCGAATACTAGGTAGTTAAATCCACTACTTAACTTAACATACTAGAATTACCTAATCACGGTTATACATATAATACTTATCTCGAGTACTAGAGTACTCTAGCCTTAAAATAATTACTTTCTACTTTTATAAACACGCTACCCCCCCTCCCCCTAATTACCCCTCTAAATCTTAAAATCAAATAAGATAAACATACTATAATACCCCGAGTATCTAACTACTATAACAACAACAATAAGTATCGAAAATAAGCGACTCGAGGGATATTATGATACGAGAATCGAAAGAGCTACCTAGAGTCTAGAGCTAGTGAAGAATATTCGATTCAGTACCTATAGTTATTTAAATCTTATTACCCTAGAAACTCCTTCTATTTACCTTTACCTAATAAAGATAAAGTATCTAATCACTACGTATATGTAACTACCTATATCCTAAGCACCTCATTCCTTCCTTATACCTTATAATATAAGTTATAACTAGACTACCGAGGTATACCACAAGCCATACTATACTATACTATACCTAGTATAAAAGCCCCAAGAGCCACAGATATATAGGTCCTATATAATATAGTCCGTATATATAGAAATAGTAATATATACTACTACTACCACTCCCTGGTATTTATATAACGCGGGAAGGTTATTATTAAGAGAAAGAGTTCATGTGGTTGTTTGCCGGGAAAGGTACTCCGGCTAGATACCTAGATACATAGGTATGAATCATATTAACTTACATATATAGAAACCTCTATAGAAACCCTATAACGCACCATCACATAAGACGAAAAAAAAAAGAGGTATCCATTATATCAGATGGATTAGCAGGTAGGTGGTAAATCTTAATATTACAAACACACTATCTGATATAGCCTAAAAGCCTAAAAGCCAAGCCAAGTCAAGTACTTCAATCCGTCCAGGCGGTCCGGTTCGATTTAACCCGTAAACCCTCCAGCCTACTAACAGCCAAACCCAGGTCCAAGCACTGATCCCCAGGTGGAAAGTATACCCCTTTCTCTTATCCATCCAGTGTGATGAAAGGGGGTAACCATATGGAGGAAGTAGAAGTAGAAGTAGAAAAGAAGAAGAAAAAGAATGCGCGGGGGTATTCGGGGAAAAAAGGGAGGGGTGGGGGGTATTTAAACACCAAATGAAAGAAAAGAGCGAAGAAAATCAAAAGCTCCAACCCAGCCCTGGTGCATTGGTAGTCGGTAGTTCCAGTTATGCAAGCAAGCAAGAAAAGAGGAAAAGAAAATCAACAAATGAGAAGAACGCAATGCAATGCCCATCCCCGAATTTGGAAACTCCCCGTTTCAAAACACGTTCAACCGAAAGAATTCAGACCGCTCAACTACCTCTCCTTTTGACACCCGCACTTTGAACCAACCCACTCCCTACAAACGGACTTTCCTTCTGGTGGGATGTCCTAGGTCTAGCATTCGTCCTCGATCTTGCCAGCTCCGCGGCCTGTTCGCGACGGAATAGCGTCTGCGTAGGTTGCATCTGCATCTGCGCAGCCATCTCCTCGGGCGTCGTTGCCACATCCACCAACCGCTTCCCAGCGACAGGTTGAACGCCACGTCCTTTACCTCGCTTGTCCCACTGTGGCGCCTCTTTGAAGACGGGCGAGAAGTCGAGGAGTGGTTTGGGCATTCCAGCCATTCCTGTCATTCCTGGCCCAGGGGAATCGACGGCGGTTTGTGGACGGCGGTTTGGACGAGTAGTGGTTGAGCGCATGGAGGCTGTTCTTTCAGGTCTTTGAGTGGGAGCGCTCAAGAGGGAGGGTCCGTCTGTGAAGCCGTTGCCGCCATTATAAGAGTGATGATGCGCCTCTTTTTGAACGCGTTGTTGTCTTTGAGAATATGATCTTCCCAATAGGCCACCCGAAGAGAATTCGTCTTCTGCTTCAGAAGGGATGTTGAGGTTAACAATAGGTGGGTGGCGTCGAGATTCCTGACGGGATTCCTTTTTGGAAGGTAGTGGTGATTGAGAAACACTGTTGCTGTGATGGAAAGGAATTTGTCGAGGACGATCACTGTCAGATTCATACTCTCGACCCCTTCTTTCATTTTCCTTCTTACTAAAATCGTCCACGTTGACCACAGGAGCAAGTGTTCCGATGGTGTATGGGTCTCCGTCAGAGCTTTGGTGTGTATTCTTGCGACCTGGTGCGGCCTTGGACTTTGTCTTGGCACCATCGCCCATGCGACTCACCAAATACCAACTTCGCCACGCCTGTACAGCATCATACCACAGATCGGAAAGAACTCGGTCGTCGGTACTAAAGTAGTGAACAAAATTCTCAGTGCTCAGAAACATGGTTGTCTTTTGCTGACTTTTAATTACATAGCAGTATTTCTTTGGTGGATTGAGACGTTTCCGTGTTTCTTGAGGAGTCGAGCTGTAGATGTCAAAATCCGACAAGTGACACAAGCTCACTGTATCTTTGTCATTTGATTTGCCCGGAGGCTTCTTGGACATATAAATTTGACCAGTAGAGAACAGCGTAATGTATCGTTTGTTCCATTTTCCAGGCTTCTGAGAATGGTACATGTAGACAGTGGTGTTGCCAGGAGCCTCTTTTGGGGCCGAGGAAGACTCGAGGTCCTTATCATACTCTGGGGCTTCCGAGTTCATGAGCGTAAAGAAATTCTGCGTGTCTTGGTCCCACGAATTCATAATATCTCGAATATGCTCGTAGCGCCGTGTACGACGTTCCAATCCAAGCTGTCCATACGATTCAAGTAAGACTGCAGTAGCTGGTATGATATTTTGTGACATGATGTTGGCAGCAGAAAGTATCAAGTCTGCGCTCGTAGTGTCGGGTGTAATTGGCAAATTAATTGATGATTGCTTGCATCGAACCAACACACGCTGCGACGAATTAGCCATAATTTCAGCCTAATAATGGAGCTCCACTTACCCTTTCTCCAGCATTACTAGCCGAGATGGGAGCATCAGTTTGAGGTACAATCCCACCACCACCCTCTTGTATCATTTGTTCGGGAGCCAATTTATGGGTTGGTATAATAGGATCCTTTGCAACCCGGCGGGACGGGGGCGAGGATGTTGTCTTTCGAATCTTTTCAACCCTCTTTGGGGAAGGTGGTCCAAGGCTCTTTTCTCGCACCGATGACTCTGAGGTGCCACTGCCCGATGTCCTAGGAGGAACCTTTGATGTCGCTCTCTTTCTGGAAAAGAAACTAAATTTGTCTCTCGGACTAAGTATCTCTGGTGATCGTGGACCTGCAGCATCCAAGGTTGCCTCTAGACGTTCCAAATCAACTCGCTTCTGTTCTTCCAACAATCTTGCCGTTTCCTCTTCCTTTAATCTTGCTTCTCTCTCTTCCGACTGGGCCTGGGCCTTTCGTTGTTTGGAAGCTCGCGCATCTTCTGCCGCTCTCTGACGAGCTCTCAATTTTTGTTCCTCGGCTTGCGCCTTTTGCTCCTCCAACTTTTCCTTTTGCGCTTCGCGTTCCCTAAATTCTAGCACCTTCCGTCGCAGACGCTCATCCTCGGTCTCTTTGTGACCTGGAGCCCTCGACTTTTTGACCGCGGTTGGCTCGATTGCTGGAGAGGCTGCGTGTCGCGAAGTCGAAAGTATTGGCTCCGTCACTCGTCTGATGGTGGAGGGTTTTCCAGACAAGGCTGCCAATGTGGACTGGTCGACACCAGAAGGTAGGGTAGGCATTGGTGGAGGTGCTTCAGCTGATTCTTCTGGAGACTCGACTCTTGTCCGTCGGTACCTCGCCATACTCTTCGTCCTACCCAGACCATTTCCATCTTTAGGTGGTCGCAGAGGCATTGGTACCCCAGTTGGTTGTGTATTTGCTGGCGCATGCCTTACAGATTTGTATCTTGTCAACTGGTCGGTCTGGGAGCCCGTGGAGGAGGCCAAGTCTTGGTCTTCCGACATGGTGGGGTTGGGATCCGTTCGTCCACGAGGGATCATGAATTAATGGTGGTAAATCTTGTCAATGTGTATTCTCTGGAGGTGACGTGCGCAGGAAGACTCATGTTCAGAAAGTGCCCCTGAGTTTGACTAATGCACTCCTAGATGATGGTGAGGGAGGAGTGGGAGGAGGCTGGGCGGATGTGACACGGAGAAGCAATATCGTCCATAGGTGACCAAAGTGTTGAGGTTAAGGTTACGGTCTGAATTGCAGGTGATAAAAGTCTGAGGGGGGTGATCTGAATGACAACCAGACGAATGGAGATGTTGTGTCGCCTGTCACAGAAGATTGAAAAAGGAGTGAGTGTGGTGTAGGAGAGAAGGGAAAGAGAGCGCGTGAGGGATTGTGTAGTGAACAGTTAGTCAGTCGGTCAGTGGTGAATGTCGGGCGGGTTGTGTACGGAGCAAATGTGGGCGCTCTTCTCCACAGTTGGTTGGGGTTGGCGGGACCAACCCAACCTCCACCTTGCAACGACCACCAGCACGGCTCCGCAAGGGCTGGGAAGAAGGGGTTTGATGTTCGAGGGGAGGGGCAAAGAGGGCGCCTGCAATCTTAAATTTAGAAATGCTTGGCGGACGAAGCACGCAGATCATCTTCCGAATCTTGGGGTTGTGCAGCATCTGTCACCTCAAGGCCCCCGGTAGATGTCAGAGGGCGAGCACACGACGAGTCTCAGTCTACGAGGTACGAGGAAAGTTGGCCTCCAGGCGACACAATTGGCCGTCGTGATTGATCTGGATGAAGCTATCCCCACCACCCCGGTAAAAGACACATTTGCCTCGGAACCTCTGAGATCGATCCCTGACCGGTACACCACCCGCGGAACACGAGGTCCTGAAGAAAAGGGGACTTTGGCGGGGCTGACCCAGTGGGTGCAGTCTGCTGCATTGGCGTACGGTATATATACCCTGGTGGGTACGGAAAGGAGTACCAACAAATATCAGCATCACTGGTTCGTGTTTGATTATATATGGAGTACACATTTCTTTTGTTGAAAGGAGTAGAAGTACTATCCTTATTCGCTTGTATCAACCCATAAGCAATATCAGTTGAGTGAAGGTTAATTGATCATGCAGGTGGCATAACGCAGTGCGTGGCGTCCGAGGGTCTCTACAGTTCGATCAACGTTGGTTTTTTTCCTGTACTTGCCCAAATCGTTTAAAGACGTTGCGATGTGGTGCTCATCTCGTTTCCCAGTTCACCGAAAGTCCCTGGTTGAGCTACTTGTTACATTCAAATTATGCCCTTTTACCGCTCGGTTTTTCCAGTTGCGGTTATTCGGAATTTGGAAAGTAAAAAATCACTATAAAAAGTTGCTTGACAGTCATCCTTTGAATTACGCGTGGCACCGGGAGACAAGAGGCAAATCCGTTTAAGCGACAGCGCCTAGCAGGCGATTTGCAATTCCGCTTCTAAATAATCTTCATCATTCATCACAGCCTGTAGGCAAGCGAGGGCGAGGATGGAAATGTGCTTCGGAACATTGAATTCAGCATGAATGAGTTTATCGAGAGTTCAGACCCTTCCTGGAAAATTTGGTGGGGAAGAATGATGAATCAATTATCCGAGAATGTTCTAGGCGGCAAATATTAACCTATATCTCAAAGGCAAAATGAATAATACCCCAAACCTACCAAGTACGGGGCCGAGTGAGTTTAAAGCACGAGATGCGAGTACCGGCGCTCCGTCAGTGAGTAGATATTTTCAAAGTGTGGATTCTTGGAGTCGAATTGACATGATCTCGATGGTAGGGAGTGGATAGGCTCCTTTGGACTGCCGGCCTGGGGAAGAAGAGGGCAATCCCAATGTTGCCGGATCATGTCAAAGAGAAGGACAATTGACTCCGTACACACCAAACAAACAATGAAACGAAAAACAAATAAGTCGGCATCTCACGTGGTCTTTCCTAGTGCTTTGCAGCTTTGAAACTGGATTTGGGAGTCGTGTTAAGCTTGGGACCTGGGCTAAGCTTGCCAAGCTGCCCAGAGGGATACTTTGAAGGACTTGGAAGTCAAATGTGGACTGGGACAGGCTGATCAGACAATGTTTAGCTCCCATCGGAGTCCCAGACTCATCTAGCTCCGTACGGAGTACCTTACTTCGCAAACGGTCGTAGAGACTAGAGTCCACCTGGAGGTTCTGTATGGAAGGAATGTTTATGAGTAGAGTAGAGCAAGATTGTATAGTACTGTACCTAGGTAGGATCTATCCCAAGGATAGATTTTACTATACAATCAATGAATCAATGGATGGTGTTGTCTTGCCCTTTTTATAAGTGTTCCGTACGAAAAGTTAAGCGTATGACCTGCATGCAGTGGCTCAGATTAGCGCTAGAGTCAAAGTCGACCCCAATAAATAAATAAGTGGCCCCGTTCGCTTTGAGGTGTCTAGCCTGAATGTGGAAGTGGAAGGTGGAAGCTACCTTCCTACTGTACGAGTACCCGTCCCCGTACTCTACCCATACAGGTAGTGAAACAGGCCGAGAAGCCAGGTAAGCCTAGCACTCGACACCACCACCATCACCACCAATTCATCACAATTTTTGCCTCTCCAACATCCGCCATCACCCATTCAGTCGTCTCCCAAAACATCCATCACTTCCATCTCCTCGGCCAGGTCATGACAGCTGCACAGCGATAACGACCAATCCCAACACCACCCCATTGCTTCGCATTCTATCCGAACAATTCCCTTGTCGCATCTTTCAGCCGATACAAGTACCGACCTCGAACCACCACGATCCTCCTACGACGACGAGGCGCCAGCACCAATACCAACACCATCAATGCATAGGCATTAATCGTCCTTTTTCCGACCACGCCACACTTGACGGTGTTTCCCAGCAGCACTGATCCTCCTCACCTCCATCCAAAAATCCTCCGGCGATGAAGCTACACTCGCTCCTTGGTCTTCTGGGCCTGGGATCCATATCCATCGCTTCAGCCTCCAATCTACGTCCACGGGATTACGAAGCCAACGACTATTATGTTCTCGAGCTGGATCCCAATACACGGCCCTCGCAGGTAGCAGCGTCACTGGGTTTGACACACGAGGGTCAACTGGGCGAGTTGGCAGACCACCACATATTCTCAACTTACAAGCATGATGAGGATATTGTACATACAGCATTAAAAGAACGAAGAAGGCGAAAACGAAGTGAAGGGGGGTCCCATCCCCTCGATAATGTTAGATTTGCTCAAAAACAAAAGTTGAAGGCACGCATGGAGAAGAGAGGCATTCTCCCACCACGGCCAGCAGGATATGAAGCACTCGTCGAAAGAAAGGCGCCACCTCCAGCCGATGAAGCATTGGCCTACCAAGCAGAGGTAGCGAAGAAATTGGGAATAAGAGATCCCATATTTGACGAACAGTGGCATTTGTTCAACCCGGTTCAGGTAGGCCACGATGTGAATGTCACCGATGTTTGGTTACAGGGCATCACCGGCAAAAATGCAACCGTGGCCATTGTAGATGATGGCCTGGATATGTATAGTGATGATCTGAAGGACAACTATTTTGCAGAAGGGTCCTACGATTTCAATGATCATTCCCCAGAGCCGAAACCACGATTGTCCGACGATCGACATGGTACCCGTTGTGCCGGAGAAGTGTCTGCGGTCAAGAACAATGTCTGCGGAGTTGGGGTCGCCTGGGACTCGAAGATTGCAGGAATTCGAATCCTTTCCAAGTTGATTACCGATGCCGACGAAGCGATAGCGATGAACTACGCATACCAGAAGAATCAAATCTACTCTTGCTCTTGGGGTCCACCAGATGATGGAAAGTCCATGGATGCTCCAGGCATATTGATCAGGAAGGCAATGGTAAATGCAGTTCAAAAGGGTCGAGGAGGTTTGGGATCCATCTACGTGTTTGCGTCCGGAAACGGCGCTGCAAGCGAAGATAATTGCAATTTCGACGGTTACACCAACAGTATTTACAGTATCACGGTTGGTGCGATTGATCGAAAAGGTCTTCATCCTTACTACTCGGAAAAATGCTCTGCTCAATTGGTTGTTACCTACAGCAGTGGAAGTGGTGATGCTATTGTAAGTTTTGAAACTCATGCTTAGTATTATCCTCTACTTGTACTAATTTCAAATAGCACACTACCGATGTAGGAACCAACCAATGTTACAATGGACACGGTGGAACCTCTGCTGCAGCTCCACTCGCCGCAGGTATTTTTGCCTTGGTCTTGGAAATTCGACCTGACCTTACTTGGAGAGATATGCAATATTTGGTCATGGAAACCGCATTACCATTCGACTTGGATACCGGAGAATGGCAAACTACCAGTATTGGAAAGAAATTCTCTCACACTTTTGGATACGGAAAAATTGATACCTATGCAACCATTGAAGCAGCCAAGACTTACAAGCACGTCAAGCCTCAATCATGGTATTACTCACCTTGGATTCACGTTAATCAGAGTATTCCTCAAGGACAGGATGGATTGGCTGTCTCTTTTGAGGTCACGAAAGAAATGCTGAAAGAAGCCAATCTCGAGCGTCTTGAACATGTTACTGTTACCATGAACGTTGAGCACACCAGACGTGGTGATATTAGTGTTGATTTGGTCAGTCCTGACAAGGTTGTCAGTCATCTTTCAGTCACTCGACGCCTGGATGGTTTCAAGGGAGGTTACGAAGACTGGACCTTTATGTCTGTGGTTCATTGGTGAGTAGTGAAATCTCAGAGTAATATGATTCATTCTAACAATTACAGGGGCGAATCTGGTGTAGGAACTTGGACAATCATTGTCAAGGATTCTATTGAAAATGAATTCAACGGTACCTTTATTGACTGGCACCTGAAGCTATGGGGCGAGAGTACCGATGCTTCCAAGACAACCCTCTTGCCTATGCCGGATGAACATGACGACGACGATCACAATGCAATCGCAAGCAGTACCACTACAGTCACAGGTGTCACCACCACTAACGTTGCCTCCACCCCAACCGGCCCCATCCTGGCCAATCCAACTGATCATCCAGACCGCCCAACTAAACCCACTGCCGTTCCTGCGGACCACACGACTCCTACACCAACCAGTGCTGCCACCCCAGCAGCATCAGAGAGCTCTTCTACTTGGCTACCATCCTTCCTCCCTACCTTTGGCGTAACACCCAAAACACAAGTTTGGATCTATGGCGCTGCTACCCTGATCGTGGTCTTCTGCGCAGGAATGGGTGCCTACCTCTACATCGCACGTCGCAAGCGTCTCCGTAACAACCCAAGAGATGAGTGGGAATTTGATCTTTTGCAAGGAGAAGAGGCGGAAGGACTTAATGGCGCGGGCAAGGTCGGCCGAAAAGGAGGCAAGAGAAGAGCTGGTGAGTTGTATGATGCGTTTGCTGCTGGAAGTGAGGATCAGTCTGATGAGGAATTCTCATCGGGTGGTGATGAGAGGGAGAAAAGGTTGTACGAGGATGATTTGAGTGATGACGAAGGAGGAAGCGGAAGTGGAAGTGGAGGGTCTAGGACGCACGTTATCGGTGATGATGATGATGATGATGATGATGATGACAGTGTAGCCGAGGGGGGTAATGAGAAGGGAGCTGGAAGGGGTTTGATTGGTAAAAAGGATTTTTGACCTGACGGGAGGGGGTTTCCGAGTTGTTGGTTTTTTGTGTATTATTCTGGGTTCTTATACAAGGAGTGGGTGTTTTTGTGTGTTCATAGGATCTCTTTTTCCCTTTCCTTCCTTCCTTTTTGATGTGATGTGATGATGGAAGGTTGGAAGGTGGCTGGGTCTGTGTATAGACATGATATGATATAACATGACATGACATGGATACAACAAAAAATTATTATGTTTGATCCTGAATACCTATTGTTCTTGGGTGTGATCAGATTGAATGAAAACAATGGATGGATGGGTTTACCGTTTACCGTTTACCGGGTTTTCCAACTCTTAATTTACAGTATCTTGCTCTAGGCAGGTATAATGTATTAAATAGAGTATCTTACTGTAACTCTTTTGTTTTCTCGGATCTTATCTTCTGACAAACTAGTACTGGGTACTTGGGGAAAAGGAAAAGGAAAGGAAGGAGCTGCGTACGTACGACTGTGCTTTTGTATAGGTATGCTGGCTAGAGAGTAGTGAGTTTGAGTTTTTTCTTGTGGAACATGGACTTGAGGGGTTGATGGGTTCGTGATTGGAAAGGATTCTAATTTCTATGTATTTTGAAGTGTGAGGAATGTGGGATACCTTGAGAGAGAGCGAGAGAGCGGGGGGGGGAGCGGGTGAGATGATGTTCACCTTTCACTTTTAAATCATCTCTTTTTCTCTCTTCGTGCGGGTTTCACTTTTTAATTATGGGGATACAGGTGTTACGACACGAGCACTATTGGTTCCACTGTCTGGCACTAGTATATTCCATGGAAAGCGCTGGTCCTATTCCGGACACTTCCAGGCCGACAGACAGCTCCTATATTAGAGCCTTGCTCGCCCCTTAGCTAGCTTCTCTCTGGATTCCACTCCAGCTTATCCATTCTACATTGTGTCCTCGTCTTCTGACAACAATAGTACGTAAGTTATAAATTAGGTGCTCTTTATACTCTACTTCTTTTTTCCTTCTTTCTTTTTACCGAGTCTAGTCCTGTTTTGTTTAGTGAGCTAGTCTAGGGGATCTTGTAGTTGGAATACTCAAGTCTTGTGTAAGTGAGTGTAAATACTCGTAGGTAGTATGTTATATAATATCTCGAGCGAGCGAGCGGGAAAGAAAGGGTTTTCGGATTTTTTTTCAGTAGGAGGGGGGGAGAGGGTATATAGAGAGAAAGAGAGTAGATTCTCAATTTAAAGAGAATATAAAGTAATAAATAGGCGTTCCTGTTTCTAGTTCTACTTTTTAGAAGGAAGGAGGGATAGAGGGAGGGATAGAGGAAGGCGAGAAGAGATAGAAGGGAGGGGGGTATATGTAACGAATACTCAAACTGGCTAACTAAACTTGGCTGGGTGTTCGCTGGTTGGTATGCTATGATAAGAAGAAGA